TCTCCGCTATAAATCCTTCTATCTAATATTTCCTGCTGCTCGCACTCAAGAAAACTCTGGGAAGCTGTGGGGGTGGTGGGTAAACGCCCCACAAGACACGGATTCCCTTGTTCTCCCCCCTCCTGCCCCCCTCCCCCTCCCCCCAGCCCACCTCCCCATTCCCACCTCCTCCAGGGCAAAGCCTCCCCCCGAGGATCGAAACCAACCTGGTAGACTCAGTCCAGGCAGGTCCAGTCTCCTCCTCCCAGGTCGAGCCAAGCGTCCCCGCATAAGCCCCAGGTTTCAAACAGCCAGCTCATGAAATGAGCACAGGACCTGGTACCACTGCCTAGATGCCTCCCAAACAGACCAAGACAATCAACCATCTCACCCATTCAGAGGGCCTGATCCAGTTGGGGGCCCCTCAGCCCTTGGTTCATAGTTCATGTGTTTTCACTCGTGATTTGTATTCTTATGATGCAGTGTTGAAGATTAAACCTAGGGCCTCAGACTGGTCTACAGAGTTAGTTCCAGGACAGCCGGGGCTACACAGAGAAACCCTGTTTCAAAAAATCAAGGGAAAAAAAGGATGCATCCTTGAGCAGGCATCTTCTCTTGAGTGTCAAGAATTCATCTCCTATGCTGGGGAGGTAGCTTGATCAATAAATTATTTGCCTAGCACATGAAGACTTGAGTTTGGTCCCCAGAACTCATTTAGAAAAAGCTGAACAGAAATTGGTGGATCCCTGGTGTCATTGGCAAGTTTCAGGTCAATGAGAGACCCTGTCTCAAGAAGGAAAAAACAAAAACCAAGGTGGATGGCACCTGAGGAATGACACTCATTTGTCTTCTGCCATTTGGCTTTCCGCACATGCACATGTCCACTAACACACATGCACACACACACACACACAACACACACACACACACAGACTTCTCCTTCACTGGGATCCAAAGAAAAGTCAGGTCTATGGCTTTTTCATATCAAGCTCTTAGAGTCAAAGACTGGACTCCGTGACATTTGGCCTCCTTATGCCAGGTGTCTGCAGCAGCAAGTACTATTTGAGCAGCACTTTGATAGGATGATCCGATGTCACAGAGAACTCTCCTATACCTCTTCATGGTGTAGAGTACAGGGTCAGCTCATTGCTTCTCAGGATGAGTGGCATAGGTGTGGCAAGTATTTGAGAAATGAAGAGACTTGCCTGCAGTTACCTACAGGTTGAGTATCCTCTATCTGCAATGCCTGAAGCCAGTTGGGTTTCAGATTGGGGAGGAGGGAGGGAGAGAGGGAGAGAGGGAGAGAGGGAGAGAGGGAGAGAGGGAGA